ATTTGAATTAATAGTTTGCTATTTCATACAATTTTTCCTAATTTCATTGACACATCTTTAGTTAATTAGAGTCCTATATATACCCTCTAAACTCATTTTGTGCACTTTTTGTGCTGATATGCCATTTTCAATCAAGTAAGTTACTTTATACGTGTGTAATTTGTTTTTGTTTTTAAAAAAAAATAATATTTTTGACCCTTTTTCCTTTTAAAAAATAATAATTATGGGTTTACATCTATCATTTATTGCAATTCTTATAATTTTTTACATATAAAACTTATAATCTACGGTATTAAAATGAATCTGTTACCCTTTGAACTACATCGACTGTAACGATCTAATTCTGTCGTTAGGGAAAAGTCAATGGAGAAAGAGTTGGGGTCAGAAAATTTTTCGTAGTAACTTGGAATTTTCCAACCTAGTCCAGATTTGGGCGAAATTGGAGTCAGTAAAGTTTAGGGAAATCTGGTAACAATTGGGTGATGTAATTATGATTTTGATTACATGAGTGGATAGCTAAGACATTAAGAAACCCGTACGACTTTACAGAATCAAATTCGGGCGAGTAGAACTCCCGAAAATGATCTTAGCGTGAATGGGTGGTCTTTGAATGTCAAGGGTTGAAGGTGTGTTGTGAAATGGGGACTTGGAATTCAAATTTCAGCATTCTGTCTTCGTGCATGCCGCCGTAGCGGGATTGATGCCGCTGTAGCGGGGCCTCTATAGCGGGACAGACGCGACTTAAATAGGGTAAAACCCCCCAAAAACTTTATTTTCTGCAAAAGTTCGTTCTTGAGAGCTAAGAAACGACCAAGGGCTATTTCTTGAAGGTTTTCCACCTCTTTTAGCACTAAAGGTAAGGATTTTACTCCCCTAATCTATTTTTTGATCCGTAGAATGTAAAGTCATGGGTAATTATCGATGGGGGAGGTTTCATCTAGGAATTATGGTGGAAAAACCGCTAATCTGGGTATAGGGATCAAGGGTTTGGTCTAGGGCTATTGAGTTTGTTATAATCCAGATAATTAAACCTTTGATTGTTGATCCTTATGTATAAATTGTTGTTTGTAGATCTAGAACAAGCGGAGAGAATCCGGAATGGGAAGATTCAAGTGTCTTAGGGGATTCAAGCTTGGATTCAAGGTAGGTGATGGTTGTGATTTCATGTTGGTGTGATATATGTTTGTAATTGCTCATTATAATGCATGTATGTATGCGAATGTAGTATTATTGATCACCCTAATAGTAAATGAGGATAATTGAATAAATGTATGCCATGAATCACCTCTTGTTGTATGATTGTGAGAATATACATTGTGATTGTGATTGTGGTTTGTTAAATGGATCGGGTGTTACGTTTCAACACTAACTTGGATCGGTTGCCACGTTCCGGCATAAATATGGGATCGGTTTCCACGTTCCGACATAATTATGGGATCGGTTGCCATGTTCCGACATAAACATTGGATCGGGTATCACGCACTGGTACACTAACAGTTTGGGTATGGGTTCCATGAGAGGACCATTGAATTGGGTTCCATTAGAGGACTATTGAATTGGGTTCCGTGAGAGGACCATTGAATTGTGTTGTGTATCTACTTGTGATGATTTCGTTCATAGCTAATGATGATTGATATTGGAAGACAGTATATTGCTCTAAAATGATAACCAATGTGTATTATTGAGAACATGGAATGCTACATTGATCCTGAAAAGATGACTAATATTGTATATGTTCGGTATATGCCTGTTTATAATGTTGTGGTTACTTGCATGTGTTTCACTTATTGGGATAGCCACGTGATCCTACCAGTACACTGTGGTTGTGTACAAATACTGCACTTGCTTGTTCTTTGTTGAGTACATGACATCTTCAGGCGGCTATTGATAAACCTCAGCTAGGTGACTATTGAGCGTGACCGGATTTAAGGGTGAGCCAGTTTTTTCAGGCTGCCATGAATCTTTCTTGTTTAAGTCCACTCTTTTCGGACTCAGACTATTTGTTTAAGGTGTTGTTTAGTTTCGGGGTTGTACCTCTTATTCTTTGACTTGTCATTAGTAGAGTTTTGGTACAATGACTTTCAGGTTCTAGGGGTTGAATTTTCTCATTAGTTTGGTTTGTTAATTGTTTAAACTTTTGGAGTTTATGGGGACTCCATTTTTATTGTCATTTAAACCTGCTTCCATATCTTTAAATGCATAGTATTTGGTTAAGTTATGTAGTTGGGTCATAGTAGTGGTTCTCCCACCGGAGCGTTAGTATGGGTGTCAATCACGATGATCT